CGTTCATTTTAGGAGGCTCCGAACAACCGAGTCACAAGCTGGTTGATGGGAAAAACACCCACGTTTTGCTAATGGGCACCAGCAGAATTCAGAAAACTGGGCAAGGTTTTCAGGATGCTGCCAGCATCCAGATGCTAAGAAAGAGTTTGATGCCCATCAGGAGGAAGGGAAGGTATTGCAATGAAGAGTTTTTTAGTGTGTAAAAAACAGATTGGGGGAAAAGACCAGAATTCCCCAGCCAGGATGCTTTAAGATGTGTGAACTTCAACTCCCAGAATTCTCCAGTCAATATGCCTTAAAATGTTTGGACTTCAACTCCCAGAATTCCCCAGCCAGCATGCCTTAAGATGTATGGACTTTGACTCCCAGAATTCCCCAGTCAGTATGCCTTAAGATGTATGGATTTTGACTCCCAGAATTCCCCAGCCAGTATGCCTTAAGATGTATGAACTTCAACTCCCAGAATTCCCCAGTCAGTATGCCTTAAGATGTATGGACTTCAATTCCCAGAATTCTCCAATCAGTATGCCTTAAAATGTATGGACTTCAACTCCCAGAATTCCCCAGCCATCCTAAACCTAACCCAAGAGATCTGGCTGGGGAATTCTGGGAGTTGTAGTCCACCCATCTTAAAGTGGCTAAAAAAAAATCTGCAAACTGACCGATGCACCACCCTAACTCTACATAAGGACCTGGAGATTTGCATTCAGCATGATCTGAATCTGCAAATCAAAGACAAATTCTTCAGGCAGTAAATTGATTGACAAAGACAAGGTCTGTGACCCTGTTATGTTGTGGTCCTCATGAAATGGTCCATTTTCCGGAGGTGCATCCTTTCTTCTCGGCCGGGGCTGTTTACATCCCTCAATTGCCGGCCGGCAGGAATGTTTGCCGATAGAGTTTATACAGCAAATGCTTGAAGCTATTTTTAAAGTTAGTTTTGGCTCCCATCCCAGTTTCGTTCAGCTTCTCCTTCAGGGTCTCGATGGGCCAGGAAATACAGGTAGCCTTCGGCTTAACAACAGTTAATTTAATGACCGTTCGAAAGTTACAAAGGCCCTGAAAAAAAAGTGATTTATGGCTATTTTTTACACTTAAGACCTGTTCTGACCGAGTCTTCCCTAGAAAGTCTTAGTCCGCAAAACCTCTTTTATTTCTACGGTTGTAAATTACTTTAATTTACAGTCCGCAAGGCTTGATAAACAGTCTTTCAGAGAAAGGTGATCAACACCCACCTATCTCACGTGGAACGCTGCCAAAGAGCTAATTTCCAGACGCAGGGCAAGGCCAAACTTGGCACAGAGTCACAAACAGAATTTTCAAATCTTGAATCGGCCAGATGAAAGAATTGCTTCCTGCAAAAGCTCACTTCCCGTTCACTCTTCTTTTCTATCTTATGGGAGGGGCCAATCATCTCCAAGCTTTACTCCCAAGTCGACCCTGTTTCCTTAATTCCCAGCTCTGTGCGTGCGCACACTGGGAACAGGCTCCCACTGTTCTTCTGCCTTGCTGATGTCAGACTCCGGAGACTCCAGAAGTCGCACATAACTATCAGATGGCCTTGGCCCACTCTCTACCTCCGATGCAGAGCCGTCGTCCGAGCTTTCCCCAGCCCCCAGGACTGGCCCAAGTTCCTCCCCAACCTCCTCACTGTCCTTCTCTGCTGCCAGGTCTGCTGGCTGCCAGCGGGCCACAACAAGACCGTTGCCGCATCCATCCACGATCACGTGATCGAAATTCAGATGCTTGCCAACGGACTCATCTTTATGACGGTCGCAGCATCCCCGGGGTCACGCGATCCCTTTTTGCGACCTTCTGAAGAGCAAAGTCAGAAAAAAGTTGGGCACTGCACAGGCTTGAAAGCACTCTGTCCAAAGCCTTCAAAGTGGCTGAAAATCACACCATGGGTCACCTCCCCTCCCCCAAGGGTTTTATTGCCAGCCTGCAGTTCCCCGTTTCTGCCGGGTTCCAGTCCTGCCGATTCCCTGAGAACTCGAAACTTTTTTGTCATTGTCGGCAAGCTGTTACTCACGCCACTTCCTAGCCATGAGAGAGCAAAGTCTGGGCAAGCGAAGAATGAAATCGTGTCATTTCCTCCCTCCGTGATCGACGGCTTCTCCCTTTTAAAAACTTCTTTCTGGAAGTGTATATATTTACCTGCCACCCGCCCTCGTTGCGACAGGCCACGTGTTTTTCCCATCAGGGGCTCTGCGCAAAAGCTGTGATGGTGTAGCTGACCCAAAAATTTCTTTCTCTCCCTTTCGAATAGAATAACAGAGTTGGAAGGGACCTTGGAGGTCTTCTAGTCCAACCCCCTGCCCAGGCAGGAAACCCTACACCACTTCAGACAAATGGGTATCCAACATCTTCTTAAAAACTTCCAGTGTTGGAGCATTCACAACTTCTGGAGGCAAGTTGTTCCACTGATTAATTGTTCTCACTGTCAGGAAATTTCACCTTAGTTCTAAGTTGCTTCTCTCCATGGTTAGTTTCCACCCATTGCTTCTTGTCCTGCCCTCAGGTGCTTTGGAGAATAGCTTGACTCCTTCTTCTTTGTAGCAGCCCCTGAGATATTGGAAGACTGCTATCTTGTCTCCCCTAGTCCTTCTTTTCATTAAACTAGACATACCCAGTTCCTATAACCGTTCTTCATATGTTTTAGCCTCCAGTCCCCTAATCCTCTTTGTTGCTCTTCTCTGCACTCTTTCCAGAGTCTCCACATCCTTTTTACATCGTGGCGACCAAAACTGAATGCAATATTCCAAGTGTGGCCTTATGAAGGCCTTATAAAGTGATATTAACACTTCACGTGATCTTGATTCTATCCTTCTGTTTATGCAGCCTAGGACTGTGTTGGCTTTTTTGGCAGCTGCTTTCTTTCTTAAAATGAAACAAAAGAAAGACAATGGCACTGTGGAAGGAGACTGAAGGATCTGAGGAGGACGGATGTTGGGGTATCCCTTTCGTCACAATATTGGATGCTGGCGCATTGATTGATTGATTGATTGATTTTTATTTATTTAATTTATTGTGCCATCCATCTCTCCTCTTAGGTGACTCTTTGCGGGTTATAAAACATTTAACCATGATTAGTCAGCTGCTCTGGGTTCACACAATTAGCAGGATCCACCCAGCGACTAGTTTTCCTGCAAGTGGCTCAGCGCCTTGAATCCAGCCCAGTTATGTCGTTTATGAATCATACTAGCATACAAATCAATAAAACGGATTCATGGATTAATCAGGTTAAGACTGTTGTATGAATGGAGTCATGCCTGCTTCAGAGTGGTGTTGTCGTGGGGAGGGAAGGAAGCGTTGAGTTCGATGGCTTGAGCCGAGACAGGATCTAAATTTAATCAATCATAAATGCGTCCTCTCTAAATATATATATATATATATATTTTTAAAACAGCCCCGGGGAGATTAATAACAATAATAATAAAGCCAAGCAGTTTTTCCGCTCCCTATAAATGCATTTCCTGATCAGATTGTGAGATTCGTAAGCAACACTCCGAGAGGCGGAACAAATTCCCCGAGAACATCTGGCATCTCCGGCGAAAACAGCAGCCCATCAAGAGGTTCTCCATTGTGAAAACGGCACTCAGCATGCGAAACAATAATACGCAGCCCGTACGAAAACAAACAGTCTCCACAATTATGTTTGAACCCCCAAAATAGCCTGACTTTCTTCCTCTGCAGGCTGCAGGGGAGAGGAGAGAGAGAGAGAAAAAAAATGAAAGAAATTCCAATTTTTTATTCTCAACGGACAGATGGTCAAAGCCTCTTGGCAGAGCTGTTTGTTCTTCTGTAAAAATATATATCTATGTGCATTTTCACGGGGCCGCATTCGTAGAGGGATAGGATCAAGATTGCGTGTTAAAGTGTTAATATCAGGGGTGAAATGCTCCCGGTTCAGACCGGTTCGACTGAACTGGTAGCGATGGCGGCTGGTCAGGGGTGAAATGCTCCCGGTTCGAACCGGATCGCCCGATCTGGTAGCGATGGCGGCCGGTGGTTCGGAGAACCGGTAGCAATGGCGGCACGAGGCTCCACCTATCCGCCTGGTTGTCGTTATGTCCTGGTTTTAACCAGGAAGTAACCTGCTTTTTACCCTCTGCACATGCGCAGAAGGGTTTGCGCACACTCAGAGGGTCCGTGCGCGGCGAGTGCACTTCCGAACCGGCTGGGAAGGTAAGTAGATTTCACCTCTGGTTAAATACCGCTTTATAAGGCCTTGGTAAGGCCACACTTGAGAATGCTGCATCCACTTTTGGTCGCCACGATGCAAATAAAAAAAAAAAGATGTTGGGACTTTAGAAAGAGTGTAGAGAAGAGCCACAAAGATGATTAGGGGACCGGAGCACTGGTGGAATTCAAATAATTTAACAACTGGTTCTCTGCCCTAATGACCGGCTAGATGGGCGTGGCCATGGTGGGCGTGGCCAGGGGTGTGTGACAGGCAGCACTCGGCCTCCTGCACCCCTCAGGAGCAAAAACAGGCCACGTGGGGGGTGCACTCCCCTCGGCTCCATTTTGGGCCTAGTAGGCCTCCCTGCAGCCTCCTGGGAGCGAAAACGGGGCCTGTGGGGACTCCTGGAAAGGGCGGGGTGGTAAGGGGCGGGGCCAGCCAGCAATTTAAGAACCGGTTTGCCTGAATTGGCCCAAACTGGCTGAATCCCACTACTGGACTGGAAGCTAAAACATATAAAGAACGGTTGCAGGAACTGGGTTCGTCTAGTTCAATGAAAAGATGGACTATGGGAACATGATAGCAATGTTCCAATATTTGAGGGGCTTTCCCCCCCCCCCAAAAAAGGAGGTCAACTTATTCTCCAAAGCACCTGAAGGCAGGACAAGAAGCAAACGGATGGAAACGAATCAAGGCGAGAAGCAACCTGGAATTAATGAGAATTGGAACAATTAATCAGCGGAACCACTTGCCACCAGAAGTTGTGGGTGCACCATCATGAGAGGCTTTGAAGAAGAGATTGGACAACCAAATATTTATTTGTTTGTTTATTTACTTATTTAATTAATTTATTTATTTATATACAGGTAATCCTCAATTTACAACAGTTCATTTAGTTCGAAGTTACAAGGGCGCTGATAAAAGTGCCAACTGTTCCGACATCCCCACAGTCATGGGATCACAATTCAAATGACTCGTATTTATGACAGTTGCAGCGTCCCTGGGCTCACGTGACACCCCTCTCCCTTTTTGCGACCTTCTGACAAGCAAAGTCAATGGGGAAGCCAGATTCGCTTAACAGCCGTGTTACTAACTTAACAACTTCTGTGATTCGCTTAACAGCCATGGCAAAAACAGTTGTAAAACGGAGCAAAACTCATTTAAGAAATGTCTCGCATAGCAAGAGAAACTTTGGGGCTCCATTGTGGTCATAAGTCAAGGACTACCTTTATTTATTCATTTATAATGTAGTTTTTATACAGCCATCCTGGAAAACAGATCTACAGATTTTTTTAAAAAAACAGTACAACATCCCAAAGTTATTTAGAGTCTTTTGGGAAACTAAATCAGCAGGTATGTTCTGATAACATCCTTAAGGTGGTTGAAATTAAACCATGTTTCCCACAACATATGGAATCATAAACAAACAGGTTGGATTCCTACAATGTCCACTAAGACATTCCAAAAAAAATAAATAAATCATTGTCAGGGTCAAAACTCACCGACTATTATTATTTACCCTTCTTATTCTCTTCTTTATTCTCTCCTCTTATTGGATAATATTACGACGATTATCATTATTCTGCAAAGCATGTATACTGAGAGCTGCTGAGAGACAAATACCTTTTGTGTCTAATCACATAAAGTTTGAATACTTTGGCATGACATCTGCAGGACATCTGCAGACGGGGATGAAGATCTTCCCTTTTTTGGCACACACCCACCCCTTGATGGGTACCCCTCCCAAATTACAATATCGGGCTAATCAGAGGTCGTATTCAGCCGGTTCGTACCAATTTGGGCGAACTGGTAGTGGAGATGGTGGATGGCCCTGCTCCAGTGGTGAAATCTAAAATTTGTTACTAGTGGTTCTGTGGGCATGGTTTGGTGGGGGGGGGAGGGTTTAATGTGACTGGGTGGGCGTGGCCAATTTTTTTTTCTTTTAAAACCATTTTTTTCTACAACCTCTTCGGCGAAGAGGTTGTAAAAAAATGCTTTCGAAAGGCTCTGACGGTCTCAGCTGAGTTGCCTGATTGGCAGAGGCTTTTTTTTCCTTTAAAAGCCTCTGCCGATCAGGCAACTCAGCTTGGATCATCAGAGGCATTTAAAAGAAAAAAAACCCTCCGTTGATTAGGCCACTCAGCTTGGATCGTCAGAGGTATTTAAAAGAGAAAAAACCTCTGCCAATCAGGCATCTCAGTTTGGATCGTCAGAGGCTTTTAAAAGAAAAAAGCCTCTGCCGATCAGGCAACTCAGCTGGGATCATCAGCTGACGATCCCTTTGACGATCCCAGCTGAGCTGCACTCAGGGATTTTTGCTACTGGTTCTCCGAACCACCATTTATTAAGGGAAGTTTAAGATGGAGCCGATTGTGTGAAACCCCGTCCGGTTTGTGGTCACCGAATTTACCGTGAAGATTGGAGAGAGAAAAGGAAAAATTGGCAGACCCTTCCCTTATCTCGGGAGCCTGGGAGAGAAAGTCTTGTTGCCTTGAAGAGAGAATGGTTCAACGCAACCCCGGTTCTGACCAACTTTTTCTGCAAATAAGAATCTGCAGACATTCAGGCAAGAGGAAAAAAAAATCCCCTATGGTGAAAGTGATGCGTTACAGAGAGTCCTCCACTTACGAACATTCCTTTAGCGACCTTTCGAAGTTACAACGCCACTGCGAAAAGCCTCTGTCCTCACGCTTACACCTATCGCAGCAGCCCCCACTGTCACAAGATCAAAATTCGGGCCCTTGGGCAACCAACCGTTGCCGTATCCCGGGATTACGGGATCCCCATTTTGCAATCTTCACAGCTGGCTTCTGACAAGCAAAAGTCTGTGGGGGAAGCCGGATTCGTTTAACGACCACAGGATTCGCTCAATGGCAGTGATTCGCTTAACCAAAAAAAAAAAAGGTGAAATTCAACCCGACTCGCTTAACGACTTGCAGTGGAAATTGTGATCCCATTTATGGTCGTAAGTTGAGGACTCCCTGTATAGCTTTCCCAGCTGGAATAGCCCATCCATCCCACCTTTTTCAGGGTTATCCCAGCACTAAGAGTCTCAAAGAGCCCCTGACCTCTTTTTTTCCCCCCCATCCAATTTCTCCTCCAGTATCTTCTAACACCTGGGAAGCCAGCGTGGGGCAGAGGAAGTGGGGGTCAGCAGAGCCACAAGGTAGAGGGAAGAGTCATTCACTCCATGCAATTTGGGGTTTTTCCAAGAACAAGGTTTGAATATTGTCCAAATGACCACATCTCGGAGCCGGAAGACAGAGCTGATCCAGTTTTGGGAACGTCTTCCCTTCCCCACCAGATCCCAAGGCAGAGAATCGGGCATCGTCCGGCGACCCGAGAACTCCTCCAAAGTTTGGGCATCTGGAGAACAACATCCCTCTCTCTGGATCTTCTGGACTAAACAATTCTGGACTCTGTTCCAAAGTCAGCCTGGCAGCCCTTCAGCTGTTTTATCCCTTTTTACAATTCCTGACCCCGATCAAATTTTAATTCCTTATTTCCTTTTGCCGTCTCGCAGCAAGTTGGTTCCTCCCGCTTCCGTTTGCAAGAGGAGGTTTTTTTTCCTTTCCTGGCCCATTTTTGGTGGATCTGTCTGTGCCTCTTTCCTTCTTCTTCTCCTTCTCCTTCTTCTTCCTCCTCTTTCTTCCTCTCTCTCCTGAGCAAGTCCTCTCCACCACCAAAGCCAAAGAATTAAAAAATAAAAAATAAAAAAAGACAATCCTCATCCCTCCCCAAAAACATAAATTTACCCAATAAAATAATAATAATAATAACAATAACAATACAAGTTGTGGGTTTTTTTTTCCAAAAACAAGAGAGAGAAAAAGATTCCTTTTTTTTTTTGTGAAGACAAAAATGAAAAAGACGAAAGTAGAAAAGGCATGAGGTTTTTTTAGCAGAGAGAAGAGGGGTGGGAAACGAAGTCGGCGTCCTCCTCACAGTCCTGACTCTTTTCTCCGGAGGGATCATTCAGACATTCTCAAGTCCACCACCGATCCCTGTTTCTCAGCTACACCGGCAGGATTTGACGATCATGTTGGAAAGCTGTTCTACTTTGGCTTGTCGGCCGACGTAGTAAACGATGCCCAAGGGTTCCAGCTCATCGGGGACACAACAGGGTGCGGCTGAGGCCGAGGGGTTGTGAACGTTGTAGAGAGCGAGGACCTGCACGAAGGAGACAAGGACAGCCTGCTTAGAGATTTGCAAGATTTCTTAATAAAGCCACATTTTGGAGTATACCGCATCCAGTTTTGGTCACCACATTAGAAGAAAGAAACTTTGGAAGAAGCCGCAGAGAAGAGCAGCTAAAGCGATTAAAGCAGTGGTGAAATGTAAAATTTGTTACTACTGGTTCAGTCTGTGGGCATGGCTTGGGGGGGAGTTAATGTGACTGGTGGGGCATGGCAACTTTTTTTTTTTTTTACTTTTAAAAGCATTTTTTCTGCAACCTCTTCGACCGAAGAGGTTATAAAAAATGCTTTTAAAAGCCTGCTGACGATCCCAGCTGAGTTGCCTGATCGTCAGAGGCTTTTTTTTTTCTTTTAAAAACATTTTTTCTACAAACCTCTTCGGCCGAAGAGGTTTAAAAAAAAAAAATGCTTTAAAGCTTCTGATGATCAGGCAACTCAGCTGGGATCGTCAGAGGCTTTTAAAAGCATTTTTTCTACAACCTCTTTGGCCGAAGAGGTTGTAGAAAAAATGCTTTTGAAAGCCTCTGACGATCCCAGCTGAGCCGCGCGATCATCAGAGGCTTTTGTTTTTTACTTTTAAAAGCATTTTTTCGGCCGAAGAGGTGGTAGAAAAAATGCTTTTAAAAATAAAAAAAAAGCCTCTGATGATTGCGCGGCTCAGCTAGACATGGGGCCAGGCAGGGATTTTTGCTACTGGTTCTCTGAACCACCCACCACCATCGCTACTGGATCGGGTGATCCGGTCCGAACCAGGAGCATTTCACCCCTGGATTAAAGGCTTTTTTAGACGGTATATATCCTTAGTAAAGCCACACCTGGAATATTTGCAACCAGGTTTGGTCACCATATTACAAAACAGATGTTAAGACTTTGGAGGAAGTATACAGAAGAGTAACGAAAACGATTAAAGGCCTGGAGGCTAAAACATTATGAAGGATGGCTGCAGGATTTGGGTTTGGCTAGTCTAGGGAAAAGAAGGATTGGGGGGACATGATAGCAGTATTCCAATAATTGAGGCGCTGCCCCAAAGAAGAGGGAGTCAACTTATTTTCCAAAGCATTTGAAGGCAGGACAAGAAAAAATGGATGGAACCTAATCTAGGAGAGAAGCAACCTGGAATGAAGGAGAAACTTCCTAACAGTGAGGACAATTAACCAGTGGAACAGCTTGCCACCAGAAGTTGTGGATGCTCCATCACTGGAGATTTTTAAGAAGAGACTGGACAGCCACTTGTCTCAGATTGTATAGGATCTCCTGCTTCAGCAGTAGGTTGGACTAGAAGACCTGGAATGAAGGAGAATTTTCCTAACAGTGAGGGCAATTAACCAGTGGAACAGCTTGCCACCAGAAATTGTGGGTGCTTCATCACCGGAGGTCTTTAAGAAGAGACTTGGAAAGCCACTTTGTCTGAAATGGTTATTCAGCTTTCCATCCTTCCGAAGTGGGTCAAATGAGGACCCAGATTGTTGTGGGTAGTAATGCTGACTCTAAACTGCTTAGAGTGGGCGGCAAAGCACCGTAAAGCGGGAAATAAGTCTAAGTGCTATTGCTATTATAGGGTCTCCTGCTTGAGCAGGGAGTTGGACTGTGTTCTGTCCCCGTCCCACACGCACACACACCAACAGATGTTCAAGAGTTAAAGACCAAACCAGCCAGCAAAATCCTTTTCCTTATGATAACGGAACTTGGCAACAACCTAGTGGCTGCCTGCCAAGAGTTTATTACTTACGAAGAGGAGAGATAACTTCTCCCCGCTTCTGGTACATCAAAAGAAACAGCTCAATAATTACAGAGTCAATCAAGTCCAAAGATAATCCAGCAAAGTCTATAGCAAAAGTCCGGCAATGCAGAATGGCATGGAAGCTTTCAGCTTTGTTCGTCACAAGATTTGACTGGCCACCACGCTCCCTTTTATACCCTGTGGGGTGTGGTCCAGTGACTCAGTCTAATCTCGGGCACGCTTTTTCTTCTGTTGCGCGCTCTTATCTCTGCGACGCTGGCGTGGATCCAGCCAAGATTCATTACCCTCATCACTGTCCACCTGTGGGCTGCGTGGACGTGCTTGGCCCCGGCCCTATCTCTTGCCCTTCGGCAGACACCGAAGGCATCGCCAGAGAGGAGGGTCCTGGAGAGGGAGGCCTTGCCAACTCCTCTCCTTCACTCTCGGAGTCCTCGCCTGCCGATGACACAGGCTCAGGTAAGGGAGCCACAATAGACTGCGAGAAAGGCCTCCAAGATCCCATCCAGCTCTATTCTGAATTGAATTGATTTTGAGAGGTTTGGTTTGATTTGATTTGATTTATTGTGGTGTGGTGTGGTGTGGTTTGAGGGTTTGCCTAGCCAAACGAAACCTTCGGCACATGTCTTGGACCACCCATAGTTTTCTTCCCTATCCTCTTGAACCCAACTGGGAGAAAACAAGCCATCAATCTCGGCTGGCTGGATGCCAGTCACTTGCTCAACTTTTAGCTAATGCCTTCTTCGAAGGGAGGTGCCAGGCTGCAAAAGATGGTCTGTTTTTTCATCCGAAGCCAGGAAATTAATTATCCTTCTTCCTTTATCAAAACAACCAAAGTAGAAAAACAGAAATATCCACAGAAATATCCAACCCCTAAACATCAACAAGGTCTTGACTGGTTAATAATTTGCAAATAGAGTTAGAAGTTTAAAAATGTTGGGTCTGCTTCACAAGGGGTGAGGAATTAATATTTTTGAAATATATTTATCGATATTCAACTGGGGTGGGATAATATATGTGTTGCAGGAAAAGTATATTTATTTATTTATTTATTTATTTTATTCAATTTGTATACCGTCCTTCTCCTAGTGGACTCAGGGCGGTGCACAGCCAGAACTAAAACACATAACAATACAAAATTTAAAATTATTAAAAGAATTATATACTTTGGCCCAAATTTAAAACAATTCGAATTAAAACCCATTGACAGATTAAAAGCCAAACAACTAAAAAACTAAAAAATGTCAGGTATATCTGGGGATATACCTGACATTTGGGGTATAATAAACAGTGAGTAACAGGATGCATCTGTTTTGGGTCATTTTACCCTTTTACAGATAAGTACCTTCATCAAATACCTTCGTCAATCCAGCAACCTTTTATCGGCACGGAAGAGGAACTTCAGCCTTGGCCAAAGTTTTAGGACATTAATATTCGAAGTTTAGCCAATATCAGAATTTGGTCTGCCTCATTTGTATACAGGTAGTCCTCGACTTATGACCACAATTGAGCCCCCCAATATTTGTTGCCACGTGCAAAATATTTGTTAAGTGAGTTTTGGCCCATTTTACCACAAGTTTCTTGCCACAAGTTGCTAAGTGAATTAATGCAGCGGTTAAATTAGAAGCACGGGGACCCTACAACAGTCACAAGAATGGAAAAAAACAGTCATCAGTCACCTTTTTCAGTGCCGGGTGTAACTTTGAATGGTCACTAAATGAACTGTTCTTAAGTCAAAGACTACCTGTATAAATTTGGGCCTCTTTTTTGTTTTTTTTTAAATACACATTTTTCATGTCTGGTTTGTTTTTTTTGTTTTTTGTTAAAAAAAAATCCTTTTTTTTTTTTGGGAAGTTTTGAATTTTAACTTTTTGAACAAAAACTATAAAAGATGAAAAGCAAAAAAAAAAAAAAAAGTATATTAAAAAATGAACTTTCCTGATTTTTCTGACCCTGCTGGGCAGACACCGCTGAGGGGAACAAGCCTTACCTTGCTATATTGAGTATCCGCGCTCCAGAGATAGGGACACGGCCCCATGCAGAAATTGGCATAGTAGCCTTTAGGTTCGTAGATCCACTTCCATTTTAAATCTTTTCGGAAATCGATATAGAAACGCCGTACGCAGCAATTCTTCGCTTCCGGGGATCTAGGAAAAAAAAGAGAGCCCAAAAATGCCCTTAAGTCCTTTTGCTCTGAATTTTGTAATCTCTGATTTTCTGAATAGAACGGAACGGAACGAAATATAACAGAAATAATGGAATGGAATGGAATGGAATGGAATGGAACGGAATACAATAGAAATAAAATGGAATGGAACGGAACGAAATGGAACAGAATAAAACAGAAATAATAGAATGGAATGGAATGGAACAGAACAGAAATAAAATGTAATGTAATGTAACGGAGCAGAATAGAACAGAAATAATATTAATAGAACAGAACAGAATGGAATGGAACGGAACGGAATACTTTATTTGGCCAAGTGTGACTAGGTCCACAAGGAATTTGCCTTTGGTTGCAGAAGCTCTCAGTGTACATGCAAAAACAACAGAGTAATAATAATAATCATAATAACGATACCAATAAGGGAAGGTAGCAGAAAAGATGAGAAGGATAATAGTAATAGACCCTTACTACTTTGGGAACTAGGTGTTCAGCTGCGTGATGGCACAAGGGAAAAAGCTGCCTCTGTGTCCGATATATTTGATGGACTGATTGATCAATAAACTTGATCAATCAATCACGTTTTAAAACAGCTGATGGTGGAAAGCCTCCAACCTGTCAGGAAGGTGGGATCAAGGGCAGAGTTAGCCTAGAGTCTCCGCGCAAGCTCCCCCCCCAAAAAAGCTAGGAATGATCCCCCCCCAAAAATTCCTTGGAGCCTTATCTATTTGGAGGCTGCCAGTCTGGGGAGATTCCTGTATTAGAGGCAGAAAGTAATAAAGTCGTTAGCTCAAACTCTGCATGCCTAGGTCTGGCTGTTCACGCCTGACTTAGTGACGCAGCGACTTACTGGCTGCTGCAGAAATCTGCATCCGGAGCGGCCCGTTTTCTCCGCTTGTGACTCGAGGAATCAGCCCGTTCTGGTGTGGTGGCCATGATCCACAGGTACGGACGCTGCTTTGATTTCCCAATTAATGGTCCTTGGTCCCCTCTTTTGATGGTGGTGCCTGCAAAGGGGAAGTGGATTCATTGACTTGCAACTCTCCGCAAAGTGACCCGGGATGCTCCATTGAATAGGGAATCTGTGGCGACTTCCTAAAAAAAACTTCAGCTGGCAAAACCGCTCGAAAGTTTACAGTGGATGCTTTGAGGGAGGAATCCGAATTACTGTTGAGGTAGCCCTCAACTTTCCACCGTTCGTTTAGTGACCAAAGTTACAACGGCACTGAAAAAGGTGAACTTATGACCCGGTTGTTTTTGTTTTTTCACCCTTGCGACTGTTTTTATTTATTTATTTATTTATTTATTTATTTATTTATTTATTTATTTATTTATTTATTTATTCAACTTGTATGCCACCTTTCTCCGAAGACTCAAGGTGGCTTACAATGCATTAAAAACCATATATAAAAACATTAAAACATTAAAAACAATTAAAACCCATTCACACCATTCATGGCCGGATCTCGCCAGATCGCAAGAGCGAGATCAACGGCCCCAGGCCTGCCGGAAAAGCCAGGTCTTCACCGCTTTCCGGAAGGCCAATAGGGTGGGGATGGTCCAGACCTCAGGAGGTAACTGGTTCCAGAGAGCTGGGGCAGCCACAGAGAAGGCCCTCCCTTGCGAGCCCGCCAGCCGGCATTGTTTAGCTGACGGGATCCGGATGAGACCAACTCTGTGGGATCTTACCGGTCGCTGGGAGCTATGCGGTAGAAGGCGGTCTCGAAGATAGCCTGGCCCTGAGCCATGTAGGGCTTTAAAGGTAATAACCAACACCTTGAATTGTGACCGGAGACCAATAGGGAGCCAGTGCAGCTCGTGGAGAATTGGTGTAATGTGAGGGTACTTAGGTGCACCCACGACAGCTCGTGCGGCTGCATTCTGGACCAACTGTAGTCTCCAAACACTTTTCAAGGGTTGCCCCATGTAGAGCGCGTTTGACTGTACTGACTGGGGAATTCTGGAAGTTACGGTTCCCCCCGTCTTAAAGTTGCCAAACTTGATAAACGAAGAGAGAGGGGAGAGAGAAAAAAGGCCATTTCCAAAGTTCAGGAATGACTCCTACATCATTCTGACCATACTTTTTGACCAAAACTTTCCTCTTAACTCCACGCTCGGCCGTTACTCATACATTCTGAGAGCACATGATGCAATTTTGGCAGACAAACCAAAGATGTTTAATTTTCTCGCATGCACATCCCCCCTGCAAGCCCCCTACCCCACCCCACCCCAAAATCTCGGGCTGAAAGAACGGCAGGCATCAGAAGGAGGAAGCCGGCTGAGCCAAATTCCCAGAAGAAAAAATCCGACTGTGTGAGTTGCAGTTGACACTTCCCGGGTGTGAAGTTTTGCAGGCGGCAGAGATGTGCAAAAGGGGGGGGGGGCAGCGAGGGGGAGGGCAGGAGAGGCTTCTGGTCAGGGCCTGGGTCTCAACTCCCCCCATTAGAGTGACGGCCAAAGATTTACCTTCGGAATGCTGGTGGTTTTTTTTTTTTTTTGTCCTTTCAATTCCCTGCAAATTATCCTTAACTTGGATGAAGCTTGCAGAGTTACGCTGTGCTCTGTGAGTACAGTGGGAGCATTGATGCATCCCACACTGGCCCACAAACTTCTGTTTACATAGCAGGAGGGCTGGAGTCATCTAACAGGCTTAAGAAGCTGGCCTGGCTTGGCGGAGGGTTTGATTCTCCCTGCTGGGCAGGCCCTGACCCTTGTGGTTTGCAGCGTCCACCACAGCTTAGCCTACGGGCTGCATTGAGAGGGGTCCTGGCTGCAGCGTGTCACACATCCCCGGCAGGAATGTTGTAAAGATAATCCATCAATCATCAGAATAGAGCCGGAAGGGACCTTGGAGGCCTTCTAGTCCAACCCCACTCCTCTGCTCGAGCAGAAGACCCTATACAATTTGACGCAAGTGGCTGTCCAGGCTCTTCTTAAAGACCTCCAGTGGTGAAGCGCCCACAATTTCTGGTGGCAAGCTGTTCCACTGGCTAATTGTCCTCACTGTTAGGAAGTTTCTCCTTCATTCCAGGTTGCTTCTCTCCTTGATTAGTTTCCATCCATTAGTTCTTGTCCTGCCTTCTGGTGCTTTGGAAAATAGGGGGTGAAATCTAGCAGGTTCTGACAGGTTCTGGAGAACCGGTAGCGGAAATTTTGAGTAGTTCGGAGAACTGGCAAATGCCACCTCTGGCTGGTCCCAGAGTGGGGTGGGAATGGAGGTTTTGCAGTATCCTTCCCCTGCCATGCGCACCAAGCCACACCCACTAAGCCACACCACGCCCACAGAACCAGTACTAAAAAAAATTGGATTTCACCACTGAGTATCTCCCTATAGATGGGGTGGTTTATGGGAGCTATGACCCTTATTTAGAGACTTAATAAGCAAGTGGAGTCAAGTTATGTAATTCTTTTAATAATTTTAAATTTTGTATTGGTATGTGTTTTAGTTTCTGGCTGTGCACCGCCCTGAGTCCACTAGGAGAAGGGTGGGATATAAATTGAATAAAATAAAATAAATAAATAAATAAGTGAGATCTTGGCTGGGGGCAGACTCCCCTCATCCAACATCTGCTTCTCCTTGCCCGGTTCTTACCTTCAATTTGTATCGTTAGATCGTTTCGTCTGCCATCACAGGAACAGTGAGTGCTAAGTCGGAATCTCCCCAGCTCGTCTGAAATACAAATATTAGGATCGGGGGTCAGGATTGGAGCCCTCTCCAAAGCCAGCAAGCTATTTCAGAGAAGCCCCCTCGCCCCAAAACAGAATCGAAGTGGACTTAAAGCAACAAAGGCCTTTGCTCATTTCAGGAGACGTTTTTATCGGATGCCCCCCCTTCCAGCTTTGAAGCAGGTTGGCATATATCATTTCCCCCAAGATTTTTCAAACTTGGCAATTTTAAGATGGGGAGGGGACTTCGACTCCCAGAATTCCCCAGCCAGTGTGATTTAAGATAGGTGGATTGCGAACTCCCAGAATTCCCCAGGCGGCATACTTTAAGATGCATGGACTTCAACTCCCAGAATTCCCTGCCAGCATGCTTTAAGATGCATGGACTTCAACTCCCAGAATTCCCCAGCCGGCATACTTTAAGATGCATGGACTTCAACTCCCAGAATTCTCCAGCCGGCATACTTTAAGATGCATGGACTTCAACTCCCAGAATTCCCCAGCCGGCATACTTTAAGATGCATGGACTTCAACTCCCAGAATTCCCCAGCCAGCATGCTTTAAGATGCATGACTTCAACTCCCAGAATACATCAGAATTCACCAGAATTCTGGGAATTGAAGTCCACCCATTTCAAAGCTGCCTTGTTTACATACAGGATTCTGAAAATTGAGTCTACCTTTTCATTGGCACAAAGGAGAACAAGTCCCTGGTGCCCAGTCATGCCCCACCATCTTCCACCCTACCTCTACTTGCGAGCCACAACCGGAGAACATTGGTGACATCGAAGGACAGCCATTCTTTTTCGCTCTTCACCTTTAACGACAGCCCTTGAAGGTAGTACCAAGTGGAATCATTCCCTGAGTGGTCTTTTTGCTAAGGAGAGACGGGCAAGACAGAACGCCTTAAAGGAACAGCTTCTGTGGACATTTACATAGCCCGACAAAATACCCTGGCTTGCTTTCTTTCATCCAGCTTTCGAGCTTTCGGTTTTAAAAGAAAAAGGTTCTAGTCCTCAAACTTTTTTTTTCCTGCCCTTTGGGCCGAACCAAGAGGCGAAGCTCTCACCCGTTTCCGCCGCTCCCCCAAAAGTCGTCTTTTTTTTGCAGCATCGTTTAATCTCGCCACAAAAAGAGAAACAGACAGGTCGTTGTGCGAATCCAAGGGCGATTGCAATAACGTTTCACATTAAAAGAAATTTAGAGACAGGTTCATTTTTCCTTTTTGTTTAGAGCAGTGTTTCTCAACCTTGGAAGCTTGAAGATGGATGGACTTCAATTCCCAGAATCCCCCTTGAAGTCCATCTTCAAGCTACCAAGGTTGAGAAACACGATGTCAGCACTTCAAGCTGCATTTACTCTAGTGCTGACATAAGAAGGAGAAGCGGAGGCGTCTGGAAAGGGACGTTTGACTTTTCACCTACTTATTTTCCCTGGAGATAATATCCCCTAGGAGATGGGATGGGAGGGGGGAAATTCCTTTGAGCTGGAGCAGTAGATTAGGGGTAGAGTGACTTGGAAGATGGCCAATGAGTGCAGAGGAGTGGGGAAAGGAAAGGGAGGGTTTTGGGTCAGGAAGTCAGTGTTGGCTACGATGGAGTCGGAGTTAGAATGTCGTGCTTAATAAATGGGAGTTTTTTCATCAAAGACTTTGTTTGAAATGCAATTTATTTGAGACGACCTCGAAACCTGACACACTGGTTTAGAGCAAGAGTGTCCAACCTTGACATCTTTAAGGCCTGTGGATTTCAACTCTCAGAATTCTGGGAGTTGAAGTCCACAAGTTTTTAAAGTTACCAAGATTGGACATCCCTGAATTAAAAATATTTCCTTTCAGGGCTTGGTTTGAAGTTTGAACCTGATTATCCCTATTTGGGAGGGGGGTAAAGCAAAAGATCAAAACCGAAGGGCTTATAAAAGCATGTGAAAAGTAAAACTGCAGTTTCCCCCTTTTTCCTCCTAACATAAATTTCTCCACTATCTGGCGTAAAGAGACTTTCCAGAGTAGAATATAAAAACAGCAGCAGGGAAGATTTCAGATTCTACGCCATTCTGGATGCTTTTTTTTTTCGGGGGGTGGGGGAGGGGGTTGTGGTTGTTAAGTGAATCACTTCAGTTGTTAAGTGAATCATGCAGTTGTTAAACGAATCTGCCTTCCGTTATTGACTTTGCTTGTCAGGAGCAGGCTGGGTTGGTTACAACTGGTGATCATATGACCCCGGGAATGGTACAATGGGCATAAAGACATGCCAGTTGCCAAGCTCCCAAATTTTGATCGCGGGACCATGGCGATTAAATAAATAAATAAATAGTACGATAAATCAGTTCGAAGTCATTTTCTGTAACTTCGAACGGTCCCTAAACGAATCGTTTACCTCAAAGACTATCTGTGCTCTGGGAACTGTTAAGGAGGAGCTGTCCTCACCCACTTTCTCCCACATAAACTCTCCAAGCTTCGCTGTCTCTTGCTCCTCCGGAATGCAGCCCCCCTCTTCTGGGAATCCAGACTACAATCTACCATATCCTACCTGGTAAAGCACCACTAACTTCAAATGGTCACTAAACGAATGGTTTACCTCAAAGACTCCCTGTGCTCTGGGAACTGTTAAGGAGGAGCTGTCCTCACCCACTTTCTCCCACACAAACTCTCCAAGCTTCGCTGTCTCTTGCTCCTCCGGAATGCAGTCCCCCCACTTCTGGGAATCCAGACTACAGTCCACCACATCCTACCTGGTAAAGCTCCAGTCGCTGCTCTTGACCATGTCCCGAGGCCTGCATCCTCAGCTCTGCACGGTACAGCAAATTGGGGTCACTAAGGACCTTCCGGATGGGTTCGATTTCGAATCCAAAGTAGACGTTTTGGCTATCCTTCTTGTACAGATCGCCGTAGCTTTCTAGAGATAGGAGACAGGAAGCAACAGTAAGGAGATGAGCAGAAGGCCTTTCAACTGTGGCCACTTTGAAGATGGATGGAGTGCAGGACCCAGAATTCCTCAGCCAGTATGGGAATTCTGGGAATTGAAGTCCACAGGTCTTAAAGTTTCCAAGCTGGCTGGGGAATTCTGGGAATTGAAGTCCACAGGCTTAAAGTTTCCAAGCTGGCTGGGGAATTCTGGGAATTGAAGTCCACAGGCTTAAAGTTGCCGTGGTTGGAGACCCCTGATTTAGAGAAAGAGAAAACTACCTATCGGTCTTCAGAGATTGTAGAACTACAATATCCAGCAATCTCAGCTGGTAAAGAAAGGAGCAGCCCAGCCGGGGGATCCTGGGAGTTGAAGTCCACACGTCTTAAAGTGGCTAAGATTGAGAAATTCTTTCTTAGACTCACCTAGGGAAAACTCATTTATTCAGCCTCAGAATAATGCAGCCAGGAGTTTAGCCCCAGAAAAGGACCATCATTCACACAAGATTCTAATCCCAGGTTAACAAAGCACAATGGCCTGCGTTCATATGACAGGCAACATCCAAACGAAACTATCATCTCTGGCTTAAGGTGATGATCTTGTCGACTTTAAACCAAATTTAAATTACAGATACGCCTCAACTTTATGACCGCAACTGAGCCCAGGATTCCTGTTGCTAAGTGATTTTTGCCCCCATTTTACAACTGTTCTTGCTACGGCGCTTAAGCGAATCACTAAAGTTAAGTTAGCAACGTGGTTATTAAGTGAATCTGGCTTCCCCGTTGATTTTGCTTGTCAGAAGGTCGCAAAAAGGGTTTTATGTGGCCCCGGGGCACTGCAACCGTCATAAATATGAATCGTTTGCCCTGAATTTTGTGTGACTGTGGGGATGCGGCAACGTTTCTACGTGTGAGGAACGGTCGTAACTTAAGTCACTTTTTTTCAATGGCGTCGTAACTTCAAACGATCGCTAAACGAACTGTCGTAAGAGGAGAACTACTTATAATCGGGAAGATTCCTAACCTCGGGCTCCCTTTTAACCCAGCTCAACAGAATCAGCAAATCAATCAACAGATTTTTTATTCAAGGCCTGAGCCCAGTTCTATGGGTCAGGCCCAGCTGTATGATCTCTGGGGCTCAGCTGTTTTTCAGAAGACTGGTTCACAGGGGTTCGGGAGAACCTCTAGCTAAGATTCTGTGCAGTTCGGAGAACCCCCAAATCTCACTCCTGGCTGGCCCCGCCCACCCCACCCCACCCCGCCTCACCCCTCCCAGGAGTCCCCACACAGCTCGTTTTGGATGCAGTTAAGAGCAGGGCACGCGCAGAGGCTCGAGAAGGGTGAAAAATGGGCCTACAGGAAGTTCGGGAGGCCTCCAGAGGCCCTCCGGAGCCTGGGGAGGCCGTTTTCGTCCTCCCAGAGGCTATAGGAAATCCTCTGGAGCCCGGGGAGGGCAAAAACGCCCCCCCCCAGCCGTGATGCCATGCCCACCATGGCCACGCCTACCCAGCAACCGGGCTGAGAACCCCTTGCTAAAATTTTTGAAGCCCACCCCTGCTGGTTCATCCATTCATCCATCCAGGGAAACCGGAGGATTTTCAAAAGACATTCATGTACTCAACCCAATCTCATTTTTTAAAAAAATTTTCTTTTTTTTCTTGTATGACTTCGTCACAGCATCTATTTCGGCTACAGGAAGAGTCTATTTTTAAAGTTTCTCTTCCTTGGAAGATCAAAGGAGCTTTGACTTTGGTCAAAGAGACAGAGACCATGGGGTGGGTTGTTTTTTTGGGGGGGTATGTTTTTTGCTTTGTTTTGTTTTTCAGCTTTCTCTCCAAGTCTCCAACCACAGCATTCAGGATTGTTCGTTTTTTCAAAAATATGCACCGTCTTCCGTTGCAAACAAACAGGACACAGCAATTTGGAGAAAACAAAGATAGAATCCAGAGCGAGGAAATTGGAAGGAAGAAAGGAAGAGAATCTTCAGAGAGGAAGAAAAACAAACAGTCTCGTGGTTCTAATAAAAGAGGGCAAGAAAATGAGAGAGAGAGAGAGAAAGAAGATTAAGAGAAGAGAAAAGAAAAGAAAGAATAATAATAACAACAATAATAATAATATTATTGTCATTGTAGGTGTATACACAGTGTACCCATACAATGAAAAAAGACAAAGAAAAAAGATAAAGCAAGAAAGAAGAAAAAGAAGAAAGAGAAAAGAAGAGAAAAAAGAAGAAAAAGAAAAAGAAAGGAAAGAAGAAAAGCAAGAAGACAAAGAAAAAAGATAAAGCAAGAAATAAATAAAGAAAGAAAAAGAAAGGTTAGAAAGAAAGAAGAAAAGCAGGAACAGTAAAGAAGGAAAGAGAAAGAAAGAAAAAAAGAAAGGATAGAAAGAAAGAGATAAAGAAAAAAGAAAAGAAAGAAGAAAAGAAAAAAGACAAAGAAAAAAGATAAAGCAAGAAAGAAGAAAAAGAAGAAAGAGAAAAGAAGAAGAAAGAGAAAAAAGAAGAAAAAGAAAAAGAAGAAAGGAAAGAAAAGAAAGAAAAAGAAAAAAGATAAAGCAAGAAAGAAATAAATAAAGAAAAAGAAAGGTTAGAAAGAAAGAAGAAAAGCAGGAACAGTAAAGAAGGAAAGAGAAAGAAAGAAAAAAAGAAAGGATAGAAAGAAAGAAGATAAAGAAAAAAGAAAGAAGAAAGAAGAAAATAAAAAAGACAAAGAAAAAAGATAAAGCGAGGAAGAAGATAAAGAAAAAAGATAAAGCGAGAAAGAAGATAAAAAAAAGTAAGAGAAAAATGAAAGAAGAAACAAACAAACAAACAAACAAACAAAGAAAGAAACAAACAAAGAAAGAAAGAAAGATTCCCCAGGTTGCCAACTGACCTAAGGAGATGGACTTTGTCTGCTCTTCTGCCCTCAAACTGCAGAAAGCAGCCAATGTAAATTTGGATACTTAACCAAACCACCCCAGGAGGAACGGGTGAAAAAATACATATATATATATTGCGTTTTTCAAGAGAGCATCCTCTGAGCTCCCATGAAATCATACTGTGCTTTCCCTCCCAGATGCCGGGAGTCTGACTCAGTCCTGGGGTCATCTCTGAAGCTGCCAAATTATTATTTTTTTTCCCCCCTCACCCAGCCTCAGCTGCCTCGGTTGCAAATGGCTGGTCTCTGTCCTGCGTCCTTTAAAACAGAGCTCTCCAAATCTGGCACATGGAAATCTTGGGGACTTCAACTCCCAGAATTCCTCAGCCAGCACCACTGTTCCAAGGCATTCTGGGAGTTGAAGCCCGCAAGTCTTAAAAGTTGCCAAGTTTGGGGATCCCCCTATCTTAAAGCACAGAAGCCTTGGGGGCGGTGGGGGGGGGGGAGAGAAGCAGGAAAATTGGTTTCCCCCCTACCACCATCACCACTAGGGACCACTTCCCTATCACGATAGGACAGGGAAAACGCTCCCCCCTCGGATTAACCACTTCCCCTCTTTAAATTTGGATGTGGTCATCGTTTTTTTCATTGTTTCCAGATGACAGGGCCGCAATTTCTTCAAAAAATGGAATTTTACAGGCTGATGTTTTACAGCTGCACAAAGCCAGATAAGGTGTTGGAAGCCTTATCAGCCGGAGGAAATTCCCAAACTATTATTGGGACTTTCCAACATGACAAAAGCCCAGAAATAAAACAACAGGAGGAACAGGTTCGCCCTACTTCGCTCCCCGAAATTACCGGGGTTGAACCCGGTTCCCTGCTGACCTCAGTTTTCCTTGCTGCGAAATGGGAAGAGGTTGATCAGGTCCCTTAAAAAAAAAGGGCTTCTTAAAAGAAAGATCTTGCATTTAACCTTAAAATGCATGCGCTCCGGGGAGTTCTGGGAGTTGAAGTCCATGGATTTTAATGCTTGTCTGGGGTATTCTGGGAGTTAACCCCTTCAATTTAAAGCCTGCTGGCTAGGGAATTCTGGGAGTTGAAGTCCATCCAACCTAAAGCATTTACTCTGGGGAATTCTGGGAGTTTTTTTTTTTTTTAATTTGATTTATATGCCGCCCTTCTCCGGAGACTCAGGGCGGCTTACAAGGCGTTAAGCAATAGCCTTCATACTTTTGTATATTTATACAAAGTCAGCTTATTGCCCCCACAACTGGGTCCTCATTTTACCTACCTTAGAAAGGATGGAAGGCTGAGTCAACCTTGAGCCTGGGGAGATTCGAACTTACAGTAATTGCAGACAGCTGGTGTTAATCACAATGCTATCAATCTGCTGAGCCACCAGGTCAATGTATCTTAAAGAATGCTGTCTGGGGAATTCTGGGAGTTTGACATCCATCCAGTTTAAAGCATGCTGGCTAGGGAATTCTGGGAGTTGAAGTCCACTCAACCCAAAGCACCTGAGGGCAGGACAAGAGGCAATGGGTGGAAACTAATCAAGGAGAGAAGCAACTTAGAACTAAGGAGAAATTTCCTGACAGTTAGAACAATTAATCAGTGGAACAACTTGCCTCCAGAAGTTGTAAATGCTCCAACACTGGAAGTTTTTAAGAAGATATTGGATAACCCTTTGTCCGAAGTGGTATAAGGTTTCCTGCCTAAGTAGGGGGTTGGACTAGAAGACCTCCAAGGTCCCTCTGGGGAATTCTGGGAGTTGAAGTCCACCCATCTTCAAGCTACCAAGGTTGAGAATTAGAATCACAGAGTTGGAAGGCACCTCAGAGGTCTTCTAGTCCATCCCCGCTGCTTAGGCCGGAAACCCTAACACCATTTCAGACAAATGGTTATCCAATCTCTAAAAAAAATAAATTTAATTCATTTACTCCCCACTCCAGAACGGGCACAGAGTGGGGCAGCCTTCAAGATCTGGAAAGGCTCCCCTCGGCAGAGGTTCCTCTAGGTTTGGGGCTGCTGTTGGAGGTCAGAAAACAGGCCCGACGGGACTTATGGGGGAGGAAAAACCCGAAGCCACAAGCGGAAGTGGGTTGTGGGACCAGGCGGAGGGTGTGTGTGT